AAGCCAGTTCCACAAAGACAAATATTGCATGTTTTCTTTCATTTTGGGAAGCCAGGGATGGGGGTGGAAACCAAGGTCATGAAAGCAAAATGGGGAGTACTGGAGAGATGGAAGGGTAAGGGTAAGAGGAGGGAGACAGAAGGGGCTGACGGGAATATGATCAAAGTACATTGTATGCATATATGGAAACAACACAATGAAACAGAAAGTATAAACAGGAGGATCTCTGTCCAGGCTGGCCCAGGCATAAATGCAAGACCCTCTCCCAAAAATAACTAAAGTAAAAAGGGCTGGTGGAGTGGCTCAAGTAGTAAAGCACCTGCCTAACAAGCATGAGACTCTGAGCTCAAGCCCCAGTATCACCACCAAAGAAAAATCCTCTCCATGTCCCAAAATATAAAGTTTGGGTTTGACAAGTGGAATCTTTTCCTCAAATGTGGGGACTTGTCTTAACCTGGGAACCAGGTTAAAAGAGTCCTCCCTGCTGGGAAGTACTTGTGCTCAATAGATAAAAATACAACTTTTAAGAAAGTCCAGGGCTGGAGGTGTGGCTTGCCTAGCAAGAGGAAGGCACTGAGTTCAAACCTCAGTACTACCAAAAAAAAAAAAAGTTCAATATATTAAAGTCAAATTTACAAAAAAGCTCTCTTAAGGGATTTTAGCATCCTGGCATGTTTCCAATTCCAAAGTACTGTCTCCTATTAAGTAGCAATGATCTTTTAAGGCCAGGGACTGTGATTCACTTCTTTTATTTTTCTCCACAGCACCTGATACATTGCTGGGTCTGGAAGTTGTTAAACACCTGGCTGACTGCAGATCTAGATGGTAAGGGACCAAGTTTCCTCTCAGCTACCTTCTAAAGCCACTGTCACTGAATACTTTCAATCCTCCTTACTGCTTGAATGGTGCCACATACAAGCCTTTTGATTTCTATATACTCAAATACCAGAATAAAACAAGCTACTTATCTCATATTTGATTTAGGCTTATTTCTTCCATAAAGGTTTAGTATTAGGCAAATGGGGACTTGGAGGGATAGCGAGAGAAAAAATTTAAAATGGAAGAAACTAATTCATTGATGGCATGCTCAATACACCTGACTTTTATCAATCTGCAAGAAATGGATGTTGCATTTGGACAGAGACCAGCAGGAGGATGTCTAATAATAACTTTGGGCAGAATTCCAGTTGGTCACAGTAAATGTCCAAGGAAGCTCATGTTTGTTTATTTTCATCAATATATCACATTAAAAGCATCTTGCTTTAAAATGCATTGGTGTTCTGAGTGGCTAAATAGATGGTGATACTGGTAAAGGAAGCTGCTGATGTCTGCAAAGCCAGGCATCTTGTTGAGTTCGTGGGTGAGCATTCTACATCTCAAATATAAATATATAATGCACCTTCCGCAAGACAGCAGTCTCTTGGCACTGCTCCACTTTGAAGTAAAGCCTGAAATGAACTCCTGCTAACATGGCATATTGAACTCCCCCCCACTTTTTCTCATTTCCAAAGCCTTCTCAGTTGATCTGTGGCAATCCATCTTCATGTAAGTAACTATTGCAGGCTAGAATTATGACTTCCTTCTGACACACAATGTACCCCTAGAAGAACTTGACCAAGGTCATTAACCAAATCTTCAAGAAGACAGCTTTCAGGGTGGCTGGGCCTTGGTAGAAAGGGTTTTTGGAGCACATGCTCGGCCCAGAGGATTTGTCTAGGCACAAACAGAGGCCTGGGAAGATATGAGGATAGTGCATGCCCACAAGCCCTCATCCCCCAGGAGTTAGATTTTCAAGGAGGGCTGTTACATCATATCACCCAAGGCCACTCAGTTTCTTTTCTTGACAGTCAAGCTTATGAGTCACCTTGCATCATGTTTAAGCAGGAAAATATTAAAGAACAGAAAACCAATCAAGGATTAAGAATAGACATCATAACACTAGAAAGAATTCTCAGAAGCATCTCAAACCAGAACACCATGGTAAGAAGATATGGTTTATAAGACCACATTCCTAAAATATAGGCTGTATCATAAAACCTAAATATATTTCTATTATTGCTTTTGAAGTTTCTTTAGCGGTGTCATCTTATTCTATTTCCTCCTCTTCTTTCTTGTATTTTCTTTCAATGTAGTACAGAGCAGCTGGGAAAACTGCATGTACTCCTTTCAGAAAAATTTCCCATTGAAGTTCATTCAATTGCATCCTCAATATCATTAGCAATTTGCGATTACAGGGAGCTAAAATACAGATTGCTTTATAGCCCTGTCTATTCAGGGATGCCAGCTTACCCCTGCATGTCAACAACTGGGACAAGGAACAATTAAAGGGGAATCTATGTGTGCAGTTTCATTCTTAAGTATGCTCCTCTCAAATCTCTCATGCACTTTCCAAAGTTAGTTAGGCAACTTAGTAGCCACACCCTTTTGATGGCTGTGGCACCGTGACCCACATGTAATAGGGGCAATATGTTTGGGTGGTGGGAAAAAAAACAGAATTGATAGAATGTGAAAGATGAAGACATTAGCAAAGCTATAAAATCAACAGAAACTACTGAAAACCACAAAGAGAAATGCTAACTTCACATTTTCAGGTGCCACTCACTCTCTTCACCAACAAATTTTTAAAAGTAATTAACATGGGCCTTAGTTATTACTGTAAAATCATCAGCAAAGGAGAGCTGGGCTACAATGTATAAATCTAAATTTAGAATATAACCAATGCTACAGTGATCAAAGTTTGCTTGCAAGATATAAGATGCTGCAGAAAGTTTAGTGATAGTTCATAAATTATAAGCCCCTCTTTAAACAGAGCCAATTTCAGTAGCCCATGATAATGGTGAACAACATGGAAACATTTTATCAAAAACAGACCAAAGCAGGCTGGGGGCAAAACTCAAGTGGTAGAGTGCCTGCCTAGCAAGCACAAGGCCCTGAGTTCAAACCCCAGCACCACAAAAAAAGTAGATTAAAGCAATTGCTTCAGCAGTTCAACTTATGTACATCCCTATTATACCTGTGCTCATCTCTCTCTCTCTTCTCTCTCTCTCTCTCTCTCTCTCTCTCTCTCTCTCTCTCACACACACACACACACACACACACACACACTTCTTTAAACCAGAGCAGCCAAAAAGATGGGAGGGGAATGTATCTCACTTAAGAGTGTGTGGTAGGGGAATAATCCACTTTTCAGGTGTGTTGCTCTGGGTTTAATCCCTAGCTCTATCCCTTCAAAGCAGTGTGACCTGTGAGGAAATCACTTATTCTCCCTGAACCCCAGTTTCCTCATTTCTAAAATGGGTGAGAGGTAAGGGTGTAACACGGCCAGCTTTGCATGGTTCTTGTGAGTTACTACCTAAGATGAGTGACCTGTCAGAAGTCAAAGTGGAAAGCAACTTGAACTTTCATTCTTCCCTTGATTTCCTTTGCCCACCTGACTTGGGACAGACCAACCAAGGAACAGAGTAGCTCAAAGGTGAAAAGGAAGGAAAAGAAGTAGACACACGAGGCTGAAAAGACACATAAACTGGAGCTGATGCTGCCTTTCTCTCCCTCTGCCCTTCACCTCTGTCAGGAAGGTAATGTGATTCAAAATTTGAAAATTGAATTTACTTTAAAAAATATGTTCTGTGAGATCTTGTAACACACTCTAAAAAAATTTTTTCAATGCTAAGCCATGAGTTGTTTAGTGCCTCAAAGGAGTCCCTTAGTAACGAACTTATTTGATAGCTTCTATCGCACAAGAACATAGATACTACATTGTGTATGTCATTCAGTCACTGGCTAAAGATGTAAGGTACAGTTAATATTAAGATGCCTTAAGAAAACATGTTTCAAAACATAGAAACATATTGGACAAAAACTCACAGTTCTCTGATCTAACTCCCTTTGTTTTCCTACTTTTTAGGAAGTTCTAAGCTTGCCTTTGACCTTTATTAGCCTTTATTAAAAAATAACAGTTCCATGATGGGTTGACCTTGAAGTCTGTAAGTCCTCATTTTTGGGGAGGGGGTTCACAAAAATGCTACACCACAAAATCCTTTTTCAAAAACCTCTTCCCGGGGTCAAACTCTACAGCCAATCAAAACACTGCACCTTTTAACTTGGGAGAAACAGCTAAAGGGTAGCTCTGGTGTGGCTCTTGGATTTGAGGTCTCAAAAAGCTGTTTCCCCAAGTCCCACAAGGTTAAAGGCACAGAAAACCCATCACTCATCATGCTTTTGATTCCTTGAGGGCACATGCTGAAGTGTTGACAACAAACTTCCCCATGTACTTAAAGGATCATGGCCAGTGATAGAGAGACTGGTGAAATTTGGGAGACCAGTTAATGAGATGGAAGGAAGCTGTGAGTGCCTGGTTTCCTCACTTTCATTATTAAAGGCACACAGCCCCCTTCTAAATAAATGTAGCTTCCCCAGTTTTCCACAACCTGTACAGAAACGCTCACAGCACAATCCAGAAATTTTCACAATTCATTCTAAATGCACATTGTTTCTAAATACATCCTTGAGAAATATTTATTTCTTTTCAAACGAAGGGGGAAGTTTTGCTCCCATGTCATTTTCATTTGTCCAAAACTGACATTAGGTACAAAAACCAGTTGAGGACCGAATCATTCCTGGGCTAAAATTCAGAACTTAATAAGGGACTCGTTCCAAGCTTTGCGAAGAGAAAACCATTTTTAAATTGTACTGTAGGATTTTTACCTCCAGACGACGATACACCTAAAAGGAAAAAGGCCATTCTCTCCTCCCAAAGCACAAAAACACAGCATATCCCAAGCACCCCGTTTCCTACCCAGCCAATACAATAATGCTTTGTAAACTGAGAGCAGCGCCGGTATAGAAGCTAAGTATAAACAGCTGAGAAGGATTAGGCGGCAGCTCCATTCTCATTTACATGAAAAGCCTCTAAGCATCGTTTTCCTCGCTGGCTGCGGGCGCCGAAGGAACTCCTTTGTGCCGTAGCCACGCATACATTTGCATCCTTTGTCTTTACTTACCAGTCGAGGCTGTGGGCATGTGTGCTCTATTTCCTCCATGGTTTCTGAGGGAGGCTCATTGGAAAGGGATTTTGGGATACCTGTTTCTGACTCAGCATCAGTGGTAAGTACTGGCATGGCCAGTGAATGCTCCCTCCAGCTCTACACCCTCTGGGAGTCTCCTCCCAGGCGGAGAATGTTTTCTTTGTCACGTATTTTTCTCTTCCCTACCCATCCCCCTGCTTCTCCCCTTCTTTCTGTCTTCTCTGGGGGAAGTAAGAGGTTACCCCCCACACACACACGCCGCCCCTTTCTCAGAGACGCCTGAGAGGCAAGGCCTCAGTTTATCACTATAACAACCAGACAGCACTGGAGCGTCTGGTGCGGATACAGTATCCTCATTTGCATGGAGCGCGCTGGTTGGCTACTGTCATCATAGTACCACTCCGCCGGGAAGCGGCCGGGCCCCATTGGCTGGCAGGCCGTACCCACGGGGCCCGAACTTGCTGCTTTTGTTTCTTCTATTTAATTCAGTTGCGAAGGTCTCCGTCCGTTCTGAGAGAGGAGTCGGGCTGCACTACCCAGATAAGATAAAGCCGCTTCCTGAGCGCCCCGGGACTCCTGGAGAAAGAACATAGCAGACCTCCACCAAAAAAGGACCGTGCCCCTCCTAGGAGTACATGATACGCTGTACTCAAAATATTTGCTAAATAAGAGTCCACCCTGAAAACAAAGCCACTTTTGAGACCAAACCCACTGTGCCAAATTGCCAGCTGTGGGCCCCCTGAGCGTTCACCCCCCGGGTCACATACAACGGGGGCACTGGCAGATCCTCTAAGGCCTGATGTAGCCCTTGAAGTCTATCCCTGGGGCAGCCACAGGAGGAACTTTGAAGGAGGTAGTTTTTGACAGCCTGCCTCCAACCTCTAAGTGACCCAGACCCCCAACTGCTTCCTCATCAGCCTCTCTTTCCCCTTTAAGGAAGTCTGTCTTTCAGTACACTATTCCATGTGCCGGTCTAGTATCCCTCTGCTCCCATTTATCAGTCCTGCGTCCAATTTCCTAAGCACCCTGCTTTCAGCCAGATGCTGAAAGCATGGAGATTAGAGAAACTTCCCAAAAGGAATGTTGACCGTCATGTACCTTAGTATTTAAATCGTCTTGGAACATCACATTTTAAGAGGAGCATTCTGAAAATATACAAAGAAAAGAACTTACAAAGGTATTTGTTCAAGTGAAATGTCATGTGTTTAATATTAATTAAAATCACAATCAGTGGCATTTATTAAGCACAGACACAGTGCAGAGTACTTTACCTAGATCTTGTTTAATCTTCATAAGGACCTGAGGAAGGAGATCCTATTATTATCCCCATTTTACAGGTGAGGAAATTGCAACTTAGAGTAATTGCTCAGGGTCTCAAAGTTCACAAGTAATAGAGCTGGCATTTGAAGGATTTGGGGTGGTGGCAGGGATGCAGCAGGTGTAATAGAAAAAAATGGAGGAAGAGGCCCTCTTAAGACAAGTCCCTATGCCTCTAAAATTCTTTCATTTTTGTCTACAGCTGGTCCTGGACCAGCAGCACCAATGTCAGCATCACCAGGGGACTCGTTAGAAATGCAAATTATTGGTCCCCTGCCAGACCCCAGACCAGATTCAGTAGGTCTGGGGTAGGATTGGAATTTGCATTTTTAATGAGTGCCTAGGCAATTCTAATACTGCAGTTATGGGAACCATAATCTGAGAACCAGTACTCCAAAAGATGGCATAAAAAATACCATCACTGCCTCCCTCATAGAACTGTGGAAGATCAACTAAGATGTGCTAACACACACATCTTAGTGTGTGTTAATTAATTTACATCTTGTAAATTAGATGTGCCATGCTACTGTAAAGGGATATTCTTTTATTACTCCTCACATGAACAAAGAGGGCTAGCTCTTAAAAGAAGGATGGATATTGCAGCAGAGAATTGCACTTTGACAGTTTATAGTCAGGATGACATCATTGGCAACGTATCACCTATGCTCAAGAGAATTCCTGTGACACAAGTGATGTTTGGGTCATCAGAAGAGGAGCCCTTTCCTTCCCTATCTTCCCTCCTAGAAATGCAGTACACCTCAAACTGCAGCTTTAGGTTAGCTCTACCAAGCCAGTTAATGTGGAAGAGCCAAGCACCGCATGACATTTAAGAGACCCTTTTCCACCTATGTTGGGCGATGTGAAAGTGACTGTTATTCTAGTTCTCAATATTTTCTTTGCCTTAGAGTAGTGGTTCTCAAAGTGCGGTCCCCCAAAGAGGAGCAGCAGCCTAGGCAACTTGTCATTTACACTCCCCCACCCCAGATCTACTGAATTAGAACTGAGGTGGTGGAGCCCAGGAATCTAGGTTTTAATAGACGCTCCTGGCATGGAAGGTATTCTGACATATGCTGAAGTTTGAGAACCAGTGCCTTAGAGTCATGTGTTCACATTGGAAAAAGCCTAATCCTCACGGTACTGAGACACCGAGTTACCAGCTTGGTTCCTAGTCACTCTTCTAAGTCCCTCTTCTAGAATAGGAGGCTCAATGGTTCACATGCTTAGTTAGCTGAGTTCTGGTGTCTAACTCTCTCGTCCAGAGCCTGGTACTCCCAGCCTTTTCTGTCTCACAATGGGTACATGCCCTCTTCCTTCCCTCCTCATCTTCCCTGTCCCAGCAAACCAAGAGGCTGCCTCTGTCTAGGAGTACATCTTCATTGTGTCCTCATATCAGACCCTTGTTCATCCCAAGTCCTTGAACCTGGCAGTTTAAGCTCTGGTCTAACTGCCCTGAGAACCAGCTCTATCACTAATTCCATAACAACTGATCCTACTCCTGCCTAGCCTTGGCTTCCTCCTGCTCCTCTCCCCACAGCCCGGTGGTTGAACCCCAGCATGTCTTGCAGTCCTAATGGCAGAAGTAGACTCTTTCCAGCACCTCTCTGAGAGAGGTCATTACTAGATCCACCCACTTTGGAGACCAGTCTTGGATGCTGTGGCAATCTGATTCTGGAAGTTCTTAATAACATTCAAATAGCATTTTTTTTTAACTTGGAGGCTTTGTAATGCTATCAAAATGATTAGCTGAGAATGACCAGTTAATTCCACACTGTGGAATTAAATATTCTATAGCCCTCTAGGAGTTAGCATGAAGGAGTTTAATGTAGTGATGGAATTGTTCCGTATCTTGATTATGGTATTGGTTACACAAAATCTATGCACATGTGAGCATCATTAAAAACTCTATGGAAGATATTTGTCAGTATATGCTAGCAGCCCTTAGAACACTTTGTCCCATAGATTCACTTGAGGATTTATCCCCACAATAATCAGACAAGTATATACATAATTGTGTACAAAGATGCTTAATGCAGAATTGTTTATAACAGGCAAAAAAAAAATTTACAGCAAAAGCAGGAATGATTTAAATAAAAATAAAATAGTTGAGCAGGGCACCAGTGGCTCACACCTATAATCTTAGCTACTTGGGTGACAGAGATCACGAAGATCACTGTTTGAAGCCAGCCAGGCAAATAGTTCTTGAGACCCTATCTCACAAATGCTTAACACAAAAAAGGGCTGGCAGAGAGTGGCTCAAGTGGTAGAGTGCCTGCCTAGCTAGTGTGAGGTCCTGAGTTCAAACCCCAGTACCACCAAACAATAAAAAAAGAAAGAAAATAGTTGAGCATGGTGACTCAAGCCTATAATCCTAGTTACTGGGGAGAAAGAGATTGGGAAGGTTGAGGTTCAAGGCCAGCCCAGAGAAAAAGTTCCCGAGATCCCATCTCACTCAACAGCTGGGCACAGTAGCATATGCCTGTCATCCCAGCTGTGTGGGGAAGCACAAACAGAATTGATGTCCAGGCTGGCCCAGGCATAAAGCGAGACCCTATTTCAAAAATAACCAGTGTAAAAAGGCTGGAAGCATGGTTCAAGTGGTAGAATGCCTGCCTAGCAAGTGCAAAACCCCAAGTTCAAGTTCCAGTACTGCCCCCCAAAATTATAAATAAATAAATAAATAAAGCAATCCATGTAGTATAGTATTGTATACACATTAGAGTCATATTTTTAAAGACATTCTAATGATATGGGAACATGATCACATTACAATGCCAGGTGAGAAAATCAGGCTACAAAATATGATTCCAAAATGACTCCAGTTACATGGCATGTACATCCATAGAAAAAAGATACTAGTGGAAAATATGCCAAGATATTAACAGTGAAAATCTTTAAACTGGGATTATGGGGAGTTTTTTTTTCTTTTTTACATTTTTATGTCTATAGCAAGTATTCAAAAATGAGCATACTGTACTCTTTTTTTGGCGGCACTGAGGTTTGAACTCAGGGCCTTGCACTTGCTAGACAGATGCTCTACCACTTTAACCAGTCCACCAGCCCTGTTTTTGTTTTGGGTATTTTCAAGATAGGGTCTCTCGAACTATTTGCCTGGGCTGGCTTTGAATCATGATCCTCCTGATCTCTGTCTCCTGAGTAGATTACAGGCATGAGCCACCAGTGCTCAGCAATTTTTTTTTAATGGAGGATCTCACTATGTAGCCCAGGCTGGCATCCAATTTATGATTCTCCTGGGATTGCTGGGATTACAGAAGTGCACAACCATGCCCAGCTACGTTACTCTTTATATATATATATATATATATATATATAAACACATTACCCTCCTTCTTAAAGGGCTGGGGTTTGGGATTGGGGTGAGTCTGGGGATGAGGCAGAACTGGTTAGCAAATAGAAAGATGCATAGATCTCAGTGCGAGGAAACAAGAAAGAAACTAGGGAACAAAGCTGTCACAGAGACTTATCTCCAGTTGGCAGAGGCACAGGAAACATGTTGGAGGCAGGCTGTTAAGAAAATCCCTAGGGAAGCCAGGCATGGTGGTTCATGCCTGTAATCTCAGTTACTTGGAAGGCAGAGGCAGGAGGATCATTGTTCAAGGCCAGCTCAGGCAAAGTTAGCAAGACCCTATTTCAAAAACAAATAAAAAAACTATGGGCATAGTTCAAGTGATATAGTGCCTGCCTAGCATGTGTGAAGCTCTGAGTTCCATCTCTAGATGGAGAAATTTTTCTTTCTCAGGGAATGTTTGGGTCCGGTGCTCCTGAGTCCTGTAGTCTCTCCAAGTGGCAGATGGCTGCTGTGAGACCTTGTTAGATCACTACTGCCCTAACAAGCACCACCATTGTTGTTTCTTCCATTTATTGAGTATCTTTTGTGTTCTTAGCACTATGCTAGGTACTGTAAACCCCACAACATGTGATCAGATATGTCTGAGTTGCCCCAGTTTGCAGAGGAGGAAACTGAGTCATAGAGACCTTCACT